GTAATTTATAAATTTATAGAAAATTATCATCTCTTTTTTTAAAATTCTTGGAGAAAAAAAAATTTAAAGAAGAATAGGGATTGAAATCACAACATCACCAAATAAAGAAAGCAATATTTTTTAAATATAGTTTTCCCATTTGCTCATACAAAAAAAAGAGTTTTTTTTCAAATTGATTTTAAAAAAAAAGAAAGAATATATTGAAATATCCCAAAAAGCAAAAAAACTACCATTTCCATTTTTTAATAAAAACTCGGGTGTATAATATATATATATATTCATATATAAATATATAAATTATATTATTTAACAAATTTTATGGATTATATCAAAAATTTTTTACAAACTTTGGAAATCAATTCCTCACTTTCAAAAAAAACAAAAAATTCATATAGAAATATTTATTTTAATTCTAAACATAAAATTAATTTATAGTGAATTGAAATTTATTAATCCAATACATAAATATAACAGGTTTCTAAAAAATTTTTCAAAGGATTTTTTAAATGCGATGTTTAAAGGTTCAAAAGTAGGGGCAAAGTGAGGAAAAAACTAGTTAAAAAAGTTGTGATTAACAATGGCTTTTTATGTGAAATTTAATAAACCATTTAAAATTTAAGAAAAAATGATTTAGAAATCATTGTTTTATTTTGGCATAAAATTAATAAGTTTTTTTGAAGTAAATTTTAGTTCTGTTTACTTTTTTACATAATTCAGAAAAAATTGTTTTATATGAGACAAATGTTCCTAACCATTAAACCACCTCATGGTGCTTTCAAGTGATTTTTCTGTTTTTTATAGGTTTAATTTGGCACAAGGAAAAAGTAGATGATGCTTTTATTTTGATCACTTTATACTATTCAAAACAAAAATTGTTCTTTTGATAAATAAATTTTACTAACCATTAGGGACAAAAAGGAGCCAAAGATTGAAAGATTTTAAAGTAGAAAAGAATATTTATTTAAATTAAATATTTTTGTTTTGTTCAATATAAATTTTAAAATTACCTTGATTGATATACACCTGAATTTTTGATGATACCAAAAATGAAATGTTGAGATGAAAATAAAAATAGTAAATATAAAAAAAAAAAAACCATAGCTTTAAAAATTAAATAATAAATTCATCAGTTTTAATAAAAATTTGTATTCAAAAAATGCATCTATAATAATCTTAATCTATGAAAAAAATAGTACAGTGATTTAATTTTGTTCTTTATTTTTATCCAAAAAAAGAAATGTTTTCGAAATGTTATGAATGCCGGATAATAACAAATCAATTTCTTTGTAAATTAGTCATTTAAAGAAAAAAAATTTTTCAAAATTTTTATTTAAAAAAAATCCAATGAAAATATCTTTTACCATAGAAAAAACTATATAGATATCTAATTTTGCATACAAAGTGATAAAATATTTTATTTCTTGAAATAAAATAAGGGTTTGAGATAAGAAATTTGTTTATCTATCTTGATAAAAAAAAGTATTCAAATAGGACCAAGAGGTCATAAAATCATAAAAAAATATCTTAAAAAGAAGATAAACCAAATAAATTAGTTTACTTTTTTTTCCTTTTTTCTTTCTTAAATATATATAATTTTTTTTATTAATAATCATAGTTAATGTGATTTAACGATTCCAGTAAAGATGGGGGGGGTTCAAATAATTTGCATGCTCAAATTTTTAAAAAATCTTCATGTTGAATTATTTTAAGCCCCAAAAGCTGATCTATTAAACATTTCAAGGATTTTTTTGCAAATTGCCAGTTTTGGATTTTAAAATGAATTCACAAAATATATAGAAATAAAAAAGAGTGTAAAGACAAGGATATACCCTCTCACCAACAATTTATTCAATGAACTTATATCTGTGAAATGATTCTTAAACCTGAATTAAAAGTCCTTCAAGATTTATTATTATTGACGGCCAAATCTTAATTTATTTAAGATATAGAAATAATAGTGTTGATGACAAACACAGAAAATGATCTTGGCAAGAACTCCTCCAAGAAAGTTTCAAAAGAAATTTAGAAGATTGATTTAAGCACAAATGGCAAGAAGATAGAATGTTTCAAATTTTTTTATTTAAATATTTTTTGGATATGTTGATCCTCATTCTTCTTTTGTCAAATTTCCAATGATGAAAAATTTGATTATACAATTTTTGTTTAGAATGATGATTGGAATTCTTTACCCAAAATGTTAAATATTTCATTCATCAAACAAGAGATTGTTCTAGTTCCATGTACCATGAATTCTTCCAATATCTCAATCAGTTATCTGATTTTAAGTCAATTCTTCAATTTTTTTTCAAGATTCTTTTCAGAAAATTGAAAACAAAACTCTTTGATTGTTTTATCCTCCTTTGTTTTCAAGGCTATTTTATTTATCCACTGGGCCATGTGTCCTTGAGTTAGCAAAAGGAAAAACCCAACATGCAAATTACAAATCAAGTAAGCACAACAATTTAAATTCTAGATTTTATCTTAACACTCGGATGGAAATTGTGACACTGAAATTTATGATTCAAAAATTTAGCGAAAGATGCCAAAGAAAAAGGCTCAATTTTAGAAATTGGAAAATTTTTTGTTTAAAACAAAGAAAATAGGTTTTGAACTGTTATGTAATATTTGATCTAAAATGGAAACTTGAATGCAAAACAACCTCATGCCTTTCAACTGGGACCAAAGTAAAGTATTAAGAGATAGGAAAATGTTGTTAGAAACAAAGAAAATAGGATTGAACTGTTATGTAATATTTAATCTCCTATATGGCAGTTAATGCTGGACAATCTTTTCATAGATGAAGAATTCACTTGAAGCGACAGAATGTGGTTCTACAGAAGGATACTGAGAATACCATGAACTAAACAATAACAATGGAGTTTTATGGAAAAAATGGAATTGAAAAATTTATTTTATCAACTAAAGAGATAGTTGAAATTTCTAGGGCACATAATGAAGAAATTATTTCAGAAAATTTGAAAAATCACAGGACATACTGAAGGCAAATTTTTTAAAAAGAAAACAATGCATGACCTATCACCTAAGCTTGTGTAAGTGGATGACATAACGGGGATAAGGAAAGATAACAAAAAGACAAAATTTACAAAGAGCTACAAAGGACAGGGATTCTGGAGAGACATAATTGCTAATCACCTGAAGGACATATAGAAGAAGATTGTGTATGATTCTATTATATATATATATATATATATATATATATATATAATAGTAAGGAAAAAACTTAAAACATCATATAAATTGGTAATAGATTTACTTCAGCAGATATACATATATATAACTGCCTCATCAGACTGACTACATTTTATTCTTAATTAAATGGAATATTCCTGAGAGAGCTCAACTTATAGTTTATAAGGAGCAAATGTAGCCAGTCTGATGAAGCAGGTGTGTGTGTGTGTGTGTATATATATATATCAGTTGAGATAAATTTATAACTGCTTTATATGATGTTTAAGTTTTTCCTTACTATTATTTGTATTGCTCTGTATATAAATTTAATTTTCCTTTTGTCTTTATATACACACACAAGTACACACACACACACACACACACACAATATATATAATTATTTATTTAAAAATATGATTCCAACGCTACATAAGAGTTCTCATGTTTCAAAACAATAAAAATAATAACAAAAATACTAAAGAACTTTGGATTATTTACCTAATGAGTTCTTTCCTATTTTCTATATATTTTTACACACACACACATACATATATATTATAAATTAACTGATTCAAAAATATGGTTCCTTCATGACACAGGAATTATCATGTTTCAAAAACCAAAGCTAAAAACTTCAAATTTAATTATATAATTAAATTAAAAGCATTAGTTTTGTTTCATCTTCAAGCAAATTTTGGATTTTTGTAAAAATAAAAATATCAATAAGAACACTGGATTATATATCTTACTGTTCTTTCTTTTTTTTACTATAATATATATTTTAAATAAAAACAGACCACTTTAAGGTTCCATATAATAAATTATTTCACCACAGCCCTTTTAAAGGACTGTGGATCATTAGGGTTTTTTTTTAATAAAAAAACACAAAATGAAAAGCTGCTCATGTAGTATATTAAGATAATATATATATATTCATGGGCTGGAGCTGCCCTACAGATGTTTTCACTTTCACTTGTCTTGACATAGAAAAGACAGGGATTGAACAATCGCCTTTTTGATTTTATTTAAACCTCTCTTCATGGATTTATTTTTTTAATATTTCTATATTAAAAAAGACATCCTGACATTTGACACTTATATACACACACAAGTATACACACACACACAATATATATATATATATATATATATATATATATATATATATATATATATAGCTCTGTATATAAATTTATACATTGATACATGGATTTGACTTTTTAATATTTCCATATTAAAAAGACATCCTTGGAATGATCACTGACACAGATTTCGCATTATATACGTTTCAATTAAAAACATATCAGATAAAGAATGTGACCCAAATAGACAATTTTTCGTATCCATTGAAACTGTTAGATAAGCTTGATAGGATATTAGAATAATCCAGAACTTATATTGGCAGCAAACCACCTGCATATGGACAGAAAATGGATTCAAGAAATATACAAAAATATCAAAAGGTTTAAGGCAAGAATTTATTCAGTCTTTACAGTGAAGTGAGACTGAGTGAATTAGAATTCCTACCAGGATTGACTGGTTGATTTATTTCTTACAACCTATCAAATGTTTGCAGGGTAGTCAAAGCCAGAAAATATGTTAGATTGTAAGAATTCTTTGGAGATAATAATGATTTACTAATGTAAGTCCTACTAATTAACCCATAGCCGGGGGGAGAGAAATGGTAGATTCATATCTTTCCAAAGACTATTTGTGAGTAAGCCAATATGACAAACCTGCCTAGAATTGGAACTTGGATTTCCGATTTCCAATTCCATGTCATTATCCATGACACCATTTGCACATCCGAGCTTACAGCATCTAATATTACCAAGCAGTCACCCATCTAGGTGCAGACCAGGTTCAATGTTGCTTAACTTTGGTGATCATATGAGAACTGGTGTTTCAATGTGATATGGCCATAAACCATTTACCAGGATAGCAAAAAGATAAACTTTACTAAGGGCTAAAAAGTACAGGATGTTGTGGAGAGCCATAATCGCTCATGTCATGAAGGGACATGATACATAGGACAACAAGTTTGTGTAAATGGTTAGTAGGGCAGTGATCAGAAAATAGTGAAAAGACGAAATTTATTAAAAGCTACAAAAAACTGGAAGTTGTGGCGAGCCACATTTTACTTTAATCCAACAGAAGTTCTTATTACAACAGTTGCTCATGTAGTCCTATTAAGATAAGGGCTATAGCGTATCTGGGCTGGAGCTGCCCAGTCTTCACTTGCCTGTCTTGATAGAAAAGGCAGAGATTGAACAGGTGTCCTCTCTTTTAGAGAGAAACTGCTATTCAATTCAACATGCTTTACTGCTTGATCATGAAGTATCACAATAAGCAAGGCTTTTTTATCCTCTTTAAGGAAAGCACAAAGGTGGAGATAGGTTCAATTCCTACTGGAGGACATATTTTCTTTACTCAGATTTCTTGAACAGGTAGTCCAATCGACAGACATAATCCAGACTGTTTAATAAATAAAAATGGAATGTCTATTTCAAATAAGAAGTGTTCACACACACACACATTTATATATGAATACATCATTATATATTGCGTAAATTTTGGTAACATGTTTTCATTAAGATATGTCTTATTAAATAATTTAGACAAGTTTTGTCTACTTATTTTTAATAGGATCCTCTCTTGTAAATACAGATGAGTTTCTTTGTATCCTTATTAAAGGAAGAAAGAAAATTACAATGTTGATGCATATTCATTTTATTCCAAGTACTTTCAACATTAAAACAATGTTGTGATCAGGGTCTTGTTTTTTCTTGTTTGTTGTGTTCATCATTTTACTAAGGCAAAATTATTGGGTTCATCTGAAAATTAAATTTTTATGTGTGAAGTGAAAAACACTAAGATTATGTACTGTACCATTTTAAAATTTTATCATCTAGACACACGTGCAAACGTCAAGGGAGCTAACTGAGTTATTGAAATGTCTAAACGTTTTTAAAACTATTTAAATCTATTAGTTGAAACCTAGATATTTTAAAATATCTACTATAAACATAGAAAAAATGGAATTGAAAGTATTCATAATTAATTTTTTATTAATGGTTGGAAATTTTTTTAATATAGATAGTCTTAAAATTTTTTTTTTAGTTTATGTTTATTATTTTCTATGAAAAGTAATACATTTAACATTTTCAACAAGAATCTTCCTAAATTATCAATTTGGACAGGCATGCTGTTGCAAATGTTGAGAGATGTTTGATGCAAATGAAAACTAAACATTTTAGACAACACAGTTGTGGTGTGACCAACATATATATTATTTTAACTGTTGGAGATACAATCTCTTTATATATGTATATGGTGTCATTTTACCTTTTAACTTATTTTTACATATTATGTATAATTTAATTATACAGAGTACTTTCTTCAACTTGTAGAAACTCTTTTTCTCTACAGTGTGGCAGGTTCATACTGTTCCCAAAATATAAATTTATTAAGATTTTTCTTTTGATTGATTTGTTTTTCATGGTTCATCAACCCTTTGCAGGTTATTTAAAGCCAGAAAGTATTTTTAGATTGTAAGAATCTTTTTATTTTTGGAGATAATAATGGTTGAGTAATGTAGATCTTACTAATTAACCCATAGCTGGGGGAAGAAGAGATGGAATCGTATCTTTCCTGAGGGTATTCTTGCATAATGACCCAATAGGAATTAGAACTCAGCTCTCCAATTAACAATTTCGAGCCATGATCCCTTGCATCAGCCACACATCCAAGCTTAAAGCACCTGGTATTCCCAAGTGATAACCCATCTAGGTAATGACCAGGCTCAATGTTACTTAACTTCAGTGATTGTACAGGAACCAGTGTTTTAACATGATGTGACTCTAAGCCAAATTTATTAAAAAATATATCTTGAAACATCTGCAAAGTGCAATGTATATATGTCTGTATTTTTATACAAAAAAAATCTATTAATAATTGAAAAATATAAATACACATGCTTGTATATATACGTGCAAAAGTATTAATACATTTGTATTTCAATAAATATATTAAGATAACTGATTTTCTGTTAATATGTGTACAGTTTATATGTGTGTGTGTGTGTGTGTGTTCTATATATATATATATATATATATATATGTTATTTTATGCAAAACTAGGTAATCCGTATGGGTAGACCCAAGGAGGATGATATCCAGAGAGCTCAATGTAAATTCTTTAAATATGTTTGAATAAAAACAGACCATTTTAAGGTTCCATGTAATAAGTTATTTCACCACAAATTTTTAAAGAAAAATCATCACTTTTTATTTGAAAAGGTTGAAATAAAAAATGAAAAGGTTTAGAGAAGATATCAGTGATTTTAGATGTACCATTTCAATTTTTTAATTTTAACCCCCTCTGTTATAGGCTAGATATATAATATAACTTATATATATGTTATCTCTAGATATAGAAAAATAATATATGAGGAGAAGAAGATGAAAAAAAATGGAAGATACATAAACAATAAAATAATAAATCATATATGTGATAGCATTTTATCAAATTTTAGATTGTTTTTTTTTTTTCCTTTAAAGGGTATATTTTAAAATTAAAGTTTGATATAAATCTAAATGTCTAAAAAATTAAGAATTTAATTTGAAGTTTGTTGGAGTTTTGGTCCATTTTCTATTAAAGAGTCGACTGGAAAAAATTCATAGAATTTACAGCATATAAGCCTACACAGATTGGGTTTAAGGATAAGGAATTAAATTGTTTATTACATCTAATATTGATAGAATTATAATTTTCTCCCATCTTTAAATTAATTTTATATGGATTGTTTGGGTCCATCAAAAATTGTATATTTATTTTTCATTTTATATTTGAAAAAATAAAGTCTTAATGATCCAGAGTATTATTTTAAAAGTTTTGTGTTGAAATAAATTATTACATGGATATATAAATATATATTTTTTTATTCAAATATATATATATATATATATATATGAGTTAAATATATCAAAATGCAGATAAAATATGGATCATAATCAAACAGGATGATTGAATTATAAACAATAGAAATAATTTATATCAATTAACATGTTTAAATTTTAGAAATTATTAGGTTCATAGAGAATGAGAAAACATTCAAAAAATAAAATAAAATAAACTTAATTTCTGATGAACCTTATAATAAAAGTGAATTTATGTTATACAACTGATATACATTTATATTTCTTTAATTATCATATATATATTTATATGCATATGGATATTAATAAATATATATATATATTTATTAAAGACATTTTTATTTATGTTTAACGTTGTTATTTTATAGATACAAGTATTTAAGCAAATGCTCTGTTTATGATAAACAGTATTAAATAACATTTACCGGCCTGAATGTCCGAGAAATTTTCATAGAAAATATTCGTTCATAGACAGGATTCGAACCTGCATCCTATCGGAACCGTCATATACGCTGACGTGCCTTGACCACTTGGCCACCATGAACCTTATGGTAGACAAGGTCAATTTACTGTTATAAACTACAATCTTCCATGAATCTCGTACATTCATAACTGCTCTGGCGTATCGAATGTAAACAAATGACGTCATATGTTAAGAAATGGACAAGGTCCGACAATTTATTTATTAAAGACATTTTTATTTATGTTTAACGTTGTTATTTTATAGATACAAGTATTTAAGCAAATGCTCTGTTTATGATAAACAGTATTAAATAACATTTACCGGCCTGAATGTCGAGAAATTTTCATAGAAAATATTCGTTCATAGACAGGATTGATAACCTGCATCCTATACGGAACCGTCATATACGCTGACGTGCCTTAACCACTCGGCCACCATGAACCTTATGGTAGACAAGGTCCGAATTTACTGTTATAAACTACAATCTTCCATGAATACCATAATATTCACAACAAATAACTGGTCAAGGCACGTCAGCGTATATATGACGGTTATAATATAGGATGCAGGTTCGAAAATTGTCTATGAACGAATATTTTCTATGAAAATTTCTCGGACATTCAGGCCGGTAAATGTTATTTAATACTGTTTATCATAAACAGAGCATTTGCTTAAATACTTGTATCTATAAAATAACAACGTTAAACATAAATAAAAATGTCTTTAATAAATAAATTGTCGGACCTCGTCCATTTCTTAACATACATATATATCCATATATATTTGTTTAGACACAGATGGAAATAGAGATACACATGCATATGCATACACATTTATGTTGGCAAATATTTTTTAATCAGTGCAAACACATGCATTCTCACTCACACAAATACACATCCACTGACACAGACACATACATAATGTATGTACAAATTCAAGTATAAAGGACATATCTCTAAAAAGACAATATGAATAATGACAAAAGGAAAACTTGAATAATAATAATAATCACATTAATATAAAAAGTATGTAAATAAATAAATATGAACAAATACAAACAACAATAATAACATTTACTCATTTTTCATTTATGAGGCATTCAATTATATCACTTAGCATCCCCCATAGTTTACCTTGCTGTTCACAGGAATATTCCATAGAAATATTTTCCAATGTTCTTAAATTTAAATTTTTTTTTAGAATACACAATACTTCTGTTTATAAAATACATGTTGCAAAATGAAATCTTTACATTTCCTTTGATAAAGTTAATCTGGACACAAAATAAAACCTTTTAAATACAGAAGTTTTTTTCTGTCTATATATATATATATATATATATATATATATATTTTCATTTTTGGAAGTGCTATCTGATGATCCAAAGAAAAAAAGGGCTCTGGTGAAATAAATTATTATAATGGTAGTTTTAAAGTGGTCTGTTTTTTTTTTTAAATTTTATATATATATATATATATATATATATTCTTTTTTAAAAAGAAAAAATTTTTTTTTATCATATAT